ATTTCATTATCGTCTAATGTCTTGAGAACTTTAGCAACATAAACTATGTTGTTTTAAAATGTCACTAATACAAAACTATCAATGGAAATTTCTGTACTAACATCAATGCCATAATCGTCTTCCAACTGTAAATTTTCACATTCATCGCCAGAAGAATCATCGTAATTGATTAGTTCTTTACTCTCCTCGGATGAAGTGCTATCACTTCGTTTATTTTTTTTTTCTGCTCTGGTGCTGAGCCGCTTACCTTCTTTAAATTGACCTTAATTCGTTTATTATTCTAAGGAGTCATGTTTTTGGTTGTTGCTGCACCTGATCCAAATCAGGTGTGTTAGTTAAAATTGCACTCTTTTTAGTTTTCCTTGCCTTCACACCTTTTCTCTTTTCTGCTTTTCGAAATTCTTTAAATTCATGAGGGGAGATGATAGAACTTGAATTCGCAGATGATACTATTGACTTAGAGGTTTAAGACATTATCGGTTTTTCAGGTGTCCTTGGTGGGGATACTTCTTGATTTTCAGGTGTCTTCGATGAGGATGATATAACGTGATTGGAAAGCACACTAGACATTTCTGTCGACTCTGGTTGTCGATTTGGCTGTTTAGTTTCATTTATTCTATCAGTCACAGAACTGCCAATGAAGTCAGCTTCAGAAATAATGTCTCTATTAAGGAGAAAAATTCCCATTTTATTAAAACCTGACAGAATATTAGTAGGTGTTAATGCTTTCATATGTGTCTCTTCCACATCTTGTGCTATCTGGTATATTGAAATAGGTTTACCAGGATGGTTCGGCAACCATGAGTCTATAGCGGTAATGTAATACGCTTTAAAAGGAGAGAAAATTGAAACATCAAGGGGTTGCACTTTGTTACTACAATGTGGAGGCAGAGTCAGTATTATTACACCATTATCCTTTGCCAGTTGAACAACTTGATATGTTACGTGACTCTCATGATTGTCGTAGATCAGTATGAAAGGGTTCTCAATTGAACTGTTGCTAAACTTGATAAAATGTTTCATAACGTCGACAAATAGCTCGCTATTCATCCATCCATGTGCCAGGTAAATGTGCCTTGTGCCATATGCTCCTTATAATTTTTCTTTGAAAAAACCATAACCAAACGGAAGGCAGAAACATAGCCATAAAACAAACATAGCCATAACAGGAGGCAGAAACATACCATTCGCACATGTAATTACACATGTAGTAATAAGAATACCCCTTTCACCGCTAGTACAACTATTCAGCGGTTTTACACCTTTCTCCGCCATGACTTTCTTAGGTTTCTGCACTGTTGTTGTACTAGTCTCATCAAGGTTATATATCCTGATATTAGACACAGCTAAAGGATATCTAGAATAAACGGCACATAGATTGTCTAAGAACTTGTTGACATGGTTTGGATTAAATGATATTAATCTTGATAAACTGCAACCCTCTGGTTGACGTATACTGAGGTTCCCACGCCTATTTAAAAATAAACGGAACCATTGAGTCCAGCTATTTTATTTTTGATCCAATTCGCTGGAACTGAAATATTCTTTTTTATTGCCATATTATATGCTACCTTTCGTGCTTTCGTAGTTGTTAATCCGTAGCTCATTTTACTACAAGTTTTGATATTTCCTGTTCCTCTGAAAACACACGTCGTACAGTATAATTGGGTTTCATTCAATCATCATCTGGATTAGTACGTTTTATTGCGACATATCTTTGTAATGTCTGAAATTTTACTCCGTGTTCAACGGCATCAATTCTTAATGATTTTCCATCCAAAACATCTTGTACGGCTCTTGCCATATCACCGGAGCTGAATGTCGCTCGACTTCTTCGTTTTTCTTTGCGTACCATGTCTGTAACAAACATAATAAACTTTCATTCTACTTATAGAACATATTACTATAGCATAAACACTTGATACAAATTTTAGTAGTACACAATGGGACAGACTCATTGTGTACCAAATAGCATTGTTGTAAACAAATGCAAATAATCACATTTAATTTTTAGTTTTGAGACATGAGTATTTCAGGTTAGACTCAGGGTTTCCCAACCTTTTCTTTGTTGGGGCTCCCCGGACTATAAATTAAATTTTCATGCCCCCCCTTTACTTTTTTAATAAATACAACAAAAAACGCACATTATATACTTAAAATTTTATTTTAATTCTAATAAACAAATTTTAAAAGTTTAATTAAACTAGTACATGTTTTTTATCAAAAAATTAAATTTAACAAAGTAAATATTAATGAGACACTTGAGATTGCATATTCTGTACTATTTGGTTGATTCTAGGATCTGTTTTTGCCAGAGCTATCATCAGGTCGCTATCGACATCAAGACGATTTCGCTGTTTAGTTTTAATTAAAACTAGAGCAGAAAAGCCTGTCTCACATAAGTAAGTTGAAGAAAAAGGAACTCGTGTTCGTAAAGCAAGAAAGGCAACCTTCGAATTAACAGGTAATATTTTAATCCAAAATTTCTCCAATGTCAAGAGATGGAAGTCATCTTTCATGGACGAGTCAGCCATCATATCTAGAAATTCTTCCTGAATTTCTTCTGGTAATTGGAACACATCAACAACAAATGGATTTCTTGTCATACGCCATATTGGTGGCTCTGATTTGATGTCTCGATAGTATCGGCGAAATTCGTCTTTCAGCGCTTGGAAATGAGTTTTTATGTCAGCTTTCAAATTTGCGTCAAGTATATAACATTTTCAGAAGAGATTTTTTGATTCCAAAGTTGAAGCTTTGATATGAACCCCTGAATATAATCATAATTGCTTATTATAGTGCCGTTACTGCCCTGAAGTTTTAAGTTTAGTTCATTTAAGGCATCGAATAATCAAAGCCAAATAAGCCAACCTCCATTGAAATGTGTCATCTTTGAACATTGTGAAGAAATCGTGTTTTTCTTTGAACTCGAGAAAAAGAATTACTTCTTCTTTCAATTCATAAAGGCGAGCCAACATGTTGCCTTTGAATAGCCAGCGTACTTCTGTATGGAACAGAAGAACTTTGTGATTAGAATCGAGATCCTCGCAAAGTAAAGTAAATAAACGACAAAGCGCTGCTCTTAATGTAGTTTACAATCCTTATAGCCGAGTCCAAAGTCTGGCGTAATTTCTGTGGTAATGTTTTGGAAGCCAAAGCTTGCCGATGAATAACACAATGTGTACTAACCATTGCGGGATTTTTTTCTTTGAGCTTTTTAGCTAAGCCCGATCGTACACCTATCATTGCAGGTGCGCCATCTGTGCAAAGTCCAATGAGTTTATTCCAATCCAAGTCATGTTTTTCAACAAAATTTGATATTGAATTAAATATATTCTCAGAAGTAGTACCTGCTGTCAAATATTGGGAGTACAAAATCTCTTCTTCAATGATATCTCCGCCGATGTAACGAACATACACTATTAACTGTGCACAATTAACGATGTCGGTGGATTCATCGAACTAATTGCAAAAAATGGCAATAATTTTACTTTGTTGATTATTTGTGACTTTATGTGTGCTGCAATGTCATCGATTCTACGCTTGACTGTATTATCCGAAAGAGAAATAGATTTCATTTTTTGCTCTGCATCTTCTCCTAAAATTATCTGCGTGGCTTTTAGGACACACGGTTTTATTAATTCTTCACCAATAGTATGAGGTCATAAAAGCTATTTTAAATGAAGCTTTGAGATGCTGCGATACACCTTTGTGATAACTTTCCGATTTATCCAATCTCATCCGCTTGAGTGATTCTGCTTTAGAAGAAAAAAACTCTTGCGTCTTCAAAACCAGAGTAGGATTTTGTACCTTCAAATGTCTTTCAAGGCGATTGGGCCTCATGCTATCATTACTTAAAACTTTCATACATATCACACAATGAGGTAACTGTAACTCGTCTTTTTCTATGAAGGTAAATCCAAACTTAATATAATCTTCGGAAAACTTTCTTTTTTTCGCTGCCATTTTGCAACCTATAACAATAAAACAGTAATAAATAAACAAGCAAAATACCTACATGTAATTACTATTTATAAATGCCCATTTATCTTAATAACTAATAATTTAGTAAATTAAATAAAAATGACAACTGTAGTTTGTAAATACACAAACTTACCTTTTAACAGTGAAGCACAATAATTATACACACTCAAACTAATTTCTCAGCAACAAATTGATACCGAAACGTCAAATTTTTCGTAAATTTGTGTGAATGAATGTCACAGATGCTCATGCACGTCCGGTAGGTACTCAACTATTTTCTATCTACCTATGATCTAATCCTAATTCCTAATGAACGTTATGCGGAATCGGTGCGGAGGGGTTGCGCGCGGATTTCATGTAGTGGCTTGTCGAAACTTATATAAACTGCGATTGACGATTGACGACGTTGGTGTCGGGTTTTAAAACGGTTGTTGACATATTTAATTTCATTAATTTTATCCGAGTAAATTAAACATTACATTGTAATATTATTTTGCAAATGTTGTTTGATTATTTTTTTTCTTTCTAAAATCGCAAACGTCTTCCGCCCCCCTTGACATCTCTCTATACCCCCCTTGGGGGGCATGCCCCCTGGTTGGGAACTCCGGGGTTAGACTAACTCAACTGTGGTATTTCACGAATACACTTGCAAATTGACACAAATCAACAATTAGTTCCAATAATAAGTCAACAAAACTATATAAAAAGTAACTTTTTACTTTAATTAAACAGTATCACTGTAACTTTTATGAGGTGACGAATGAAGTAGTGGTATTTTAAATGGCGCTGTAAAATGACATTTCTGAGATAATGTTGGTACCAGAATTGAAACTTAACGGTTAAAAAAATTAGAATGTTTTATTGTGTATGATGTCTCATTGTGTACTACTCTCCCCTACAACTATTTTTTTATTTTTTAGGTTTAAAGTCAAAATTAAGAAAAGTATTTCGAACGTCTTCCGGCCCAACCTCTGACACGTTCTCTAGCGCTAGATTGGTGACGCAATTAACTTCAGCAGCTTTGTGCGCCAGCTCGCCCGTTCTTCCATCTGGAAACACCGTACCACCAGTAGTAAAATCGCTCATTCGTCCTCTTACCGTTCCACGTCTTCAAATTACACTCGTTAACAACAACGCAGATTTTCCAAATAATAACAATGTCGTTACAAACAACAGCGTGGGTAAGACTGCTCCAACAGATCCTACCACTACTCAAAAGAAAGATGAACCACCTGTTATAAAGCCTGCCAGAACAAAGAAGAAAAAATAGCATGAATGCTATCTCTGCACTTGGTAGAGCCACGTTCAAGAGACTGTCCTTATAGTAAAGTTGTAGGTTTTTGTATTTTTATTTGCAGAAATATTAACATAAATTATTGAACTACTTAGTGTCTTAAAAATATAGAACTTTCCTAAGAATTGCATTTCCCGTATGATGAATTGCTGAAAATGTGGCCATAAGTCTAAATATATATCAATTTAGATATGAATGTGTATTATTTTTAAAGATTTTTAAGATTTTCCACTTTGTTGATTACGAGTTTGATGTCAAAATTAAAAAATTTAAACAGGTCGATCCATGGACGTATAAATAAAGATGGACCGGTCTGTTTACATCTATACTTGAAGTCATGAGATATTCACAGTCATAGGCACAAATCCCTAATTTGATGTTGTCATATTATTTTTTTCTCCAAGTCAATCGTCGAAATAATTTTCGATTTTTAGTGTAATTTATTTTTAATCTATAAGTAAAAATGTATTATTTTATGTCTTTATTTATACGTCCATGGGTCGATCCAATATGGCGGGCACAGTTTCATATATTTCAGATTATTGGGACATAAAATTAGCTTATTTTTAAAAAAATCTAGTAAACAAATTACGCAAGAACAGTTGAATATTGAAATAACGAACAAAACATTTATATTGGCGACGTGCAAGTACTTTGAGGGGATACGAGAAACGATCGTGCGTGAGTAGCGGAGAAATTTTGCATTTTTTACTGCACATTTCATAGATTTCATAAATTGATATTGTCAATTGTCATATTTCATATTCGTTTTGTTTATTTACATTTACACCTTCTGTCTATGAACAAAATGGGATTTAGGAAATGCTGTATTATAAATTGTAAAAATACAACAAAAAATTGTCAATTTAAGTTTTATTCGTTTCCAACTTCGAAGCACAAAGCTACTACAAAGAGAAAAGTGGATTTATATCGTAAAAAAGCATAATTAACATAACCTAAATTATGCATTATTCTTGCGCCCGATTTTAAAGTCAATTTGAAATAAATAATAAATAAAAGTTCACTTTTAAGTGTAAATTTTGGTTTCATAACACTCACTTAGAGTTCATTTTAACCCAAAAATCAAGTTTAGTGTTTAAATTTTATTTTTTTGAAGTTTACAAGAATGCATCAAGTTCAAGTTTTTCTGAAGATGCATTAAGATATATTCGCTGTCCAAAAGTTTACAGGGAACGAATTAATTGTTCAAACCAATATGATGATATCATGGGCTTAACCTGCTAATTTATGCATTAACATTATTTATGGTAATTTATTTTTCTTAATTCTTCCATTATTTTTTGACATTTGCCACTACTAAAGCTTTTCCCTTTGACTCAGTGCTTGGTTGAAAAGGTATTTGGTGATTTACTTTCTCAAATCCAGTTTTTATTATTGAATCCATATTAACAGTAATGCTGTAATTCAATAATATATATATTTGTATTTACGCTACATCAACGTTTACCTTTTAATAACATACCGACATAACCTCAATCTTACTTTTTCTTCTTATTCTTTTTTGAGGCCACGTCCTTGACAGTTATCCGGTTACCTCGATCTAACATAAAAGCGCAGTAAATTTTGCTGATTTACGACACCAGGTGTCGCTGTTCCGAACTTGCACGGTCCCAATAGATTATTTTAATATTTCTGCAATTTTACTGATTATTGTATTTATTTTAGATTCGTATATTAATTGTAAGCGTCAATATTTTGAAAACCAGCCTTAAGGTACAGTTTAAAGACTATGTAGATTGTTTTAAATATAAAAATATGACTTTTAGTGAAATATAGAATAGATAAACATTATATTACGTTAGCTAATCAGCTTTATTATTGCTCATCAATCTCTTAAAATGTTTCATATGTATTTAATCATATTCATTTTCATTAAAAAATTGATTTTTAAATTCATCTGGTCCACTGTGCATCTTGGGCTGTGAATAATTATTCTGCTCTGTTCCATTTAATATGTATTACATACAGATTGAACGAATTTAAAACGGATCATACAATTTAATATATATCTGTTTGAACTGCATTTGAAATAGTGGACCAATATAAAACTTGGACAAAAATAAATCCATACCTGGGTTTAGACATTGTATAAAATATCGTTCAACTATTTGTCTCGCAACGATGTTGTTTGCGTAACAATGTTGCCAATCGCCGTGTAATAATTCGATTTGCGGATCTTTTTGAGAGTTATATCTTCTTCGTATCTTTAAATAAATCGAATATTTGCCTATATTTTTCATTGTATTTACCAATCTACTACAACAGACTAATAACAAAAATAAACTTAATGGTTTGTAGTTATTTTCTTTTTTTCTTGTAAATATTTTATCGATAACACCTTATTTGAGAAACATCTAAAGGAATGAGGTTGGCAACACCGCTCAAAGAAGGGCTTCTCTAAGGTTGCGATAACTGGTTTGACAGCATAATAAAATCGTAGATTTATGTGTAGCTTTCAATTTTTATGATTTCAGAATCCAGCAGCCCGCTGAAGTATTGGATTTTTATAATATAATTATTTGACAACCTTTTGTTGGCCAACCATCTACAGCAAAATTGAGCCGAAATACATAAAATTTCGTATGTTCCGAATTTATTTCGGTCAATCTGTATATATATATATATATATATATATATATATATATATATATATATATATATATATATATATATGTATATATATGTATATATTGGATTTGAAATTTCCGCGGAAGCTATATGTGATTTCAGATATTTTCCGGGTTTGACTCCGCGTTAAATAGTTTTGGTTTTTAGAACTATTTAAAACCATTGTCGCAGCACGCTGAGTTTAAATACCTTGCAGCGCTTCTTGTGATTGGTCCTGTGCGTAGAGTGGGCAAAATTTCTGGCTGACCAGCTACAACCATATGCAGAAAAAGCGGATTCTTACGTCAAGACTGCAAGCCACTTTATCGACCGTATCAAGGACATTATTCTGGAACCTGAACACTTATTAGTGAGCTTTGATGTCGTCTCATTATTCACCAATGTGCCAGTAGAAGAATCGGTAGAAATTTTACGTGCAAAATATCCAATATCACAGGATACACTAAACTTGACGAGGCATTGCTTAAATAACACCTATTTTATCTACAAGGACCAGAGGTACAAAAAAATCGAAGGAGCACCGATGGATTCATCACTGTCACCCGTAATAGCCAACATTTTTATGCAAGATATGGAGTCAAAAGCAACAGAAACAGCAGAACATAAACCCAAACTGTGGCTTAGGTATGTTGACGACACATTTATTATCTGGACGCATGGAGAAGAGATACTTAATGAATTCCTACATCACATTAACAACATCCATCCTAAAATACAGTTTACCATGGAACGGGAGAACAACCAGCAACTTCCATTCCTAGACGTATTAGTTATTAAGAAAGAAGACGGAAGCATAGGACATACAGTATACCGAAAACCAACCCATACTGACAGGTACTTACACGCCGACTCACACCATCATCCTGCACAATTAAATTCGGTAATAAAAACCTTAATAACAAGATCTCAGAAACTGGCAGATGAGAACCATAAGAACGAAGAAATGCACAAAGTCAAAACAGCTCTAAGAAAAAATGGCTTCTCCATGTCCACGATTAAAAAGCACAGAAGTTCCAAAAAAAGCAAAGATCCAGAAAAAGAAGAAAAACCGGTCGGAAAAACTATACTGCCCTATATAAAGGATACGACAGACAAAATCAGCAAAGTGCTAAGAAGAAACAAAATCGAAACTATTTTTAACACCGACAGAAAAATCGCAACCATATTATGATCGGCAAAAACAAAAGTTGCACTGGAAAATCAAGGCATATACAGAATCCCGTATGAAGACTGCGATAAATCGTACATCTTTAATGCCTTTTGGAACCTGATTAACTATAACAAGCAAAATATTTACCTATTCTTAACTATGAACATAATTCCAAAGAAGAGAAATTAGCCAAAGAAAACAAAACAAGTTCATTCATCCAGAAATATTTTAGTTAAATATAGAGTCAAAATAAATGGAGATGAAGTTAAAATTTGTAAAAAAGAGTTTTTTGTCATATACGGCATTTAAAAAAACGTATTGAAGGACTGGTTGGCCAAAATAAAGTAGGTGCTTCTACTCCAAAGCCAGATGAAAGAGGTAGGCATGACAACAACAAGAAGAAAATACCAGAAAAATACTGTGAGAATGTTAGACAGCGTATTAATTTAATACCAAAATACACAAGTCATTACAGCAGGCAAAAAAACCCAACAAAAGTCTACTTACATTTTGATCTGTCAATTTTCAGTTTATACCATGACTATTATCGTGGTGCCGCCAAAATAATTTTTTGACAGTAACCCAAGATAAATATAGGCGCATATTCTGCTCCAAGTTTAATATTGGCGACGTGCAAGTACTTGGATGTGATACGAGAAACGATCGTGCGCGAGTAGCGGAGAAATCTTGCATTTTTTATTGCACATTTCATAGATTTCATAAATTCATATTGTCAATTGTCATATTGGTCAATATTCGTTTGTTTATTTACACCTTCTGTCACTGAAGAAAATGGGATTTAGGAAATGCTGTGTTATAAATTGTAAAAATACAACAAAAAATTGTCAATTCAAGTTTTATTCGTTTCCAACTTCGAAGCACAAATTACTACAAAGAGAAAAGTGGATTTATATCATAAAAAAGCATAAGTAACATAACCTGAATTATGCATTATTCTTGCGCCCGATTCAGTCAAAAGTCAGTTTGAAATAAATAATAAATAAAAGTTCACTTTTAAGTGTAAATTTTAGTTTCATAACACTCACTTAGAATTTATTTTAAAAGAAAGTTTAATGTTTAAATTTTATATTTTTGAAGTTTACAAAAATGCATCAAGTTTTTCTGAAGATGCATTAAGATGATTAAGATGATATCGTGGGCTTAACCTGCTAATTTA